GATATAGTCCCACATCGGTTAGGAAGGCGAACGAAGCATGCCATATATATAGGTGTGGATACCTTCCTTGTGAGGAGGCCTTTTGGGGTGGCATGCGTGTCATCGCCAAGAGCAAAACCGTGCGGCCGTGGGCCAAAGCGGACAATATCCTCATGCGGGTTGCTTGGGCTGTTACATGCTGCCTTGGTTAATCTATTATTCAGCATACCTTCACACTAAATCCCTAATGAGAAATTATAATTATAATTATAATATACAACTTATTTTACAATTTAGAGAGAAAAATGTGAAATAAATGAGTAAGAAGGAAAAAAGTAAATATTGTAAAAAATGTAGTTAAAAAACATTTGATAGATAATAAAATTGTATAATTAATTATGTGGAGACAAACTTGGGAGGGTGTTGGAGACAAGACTTAAGAGGGTTTGTTGGTGATTAGTCTCAAGGAAAGTACAAAACAACAAAACACAGTGGTATCCCTGGTTGCCTCAGAAACTACTTAGTATAGAACAAACTCATAAGTGACTTTGTCCCAAGCTTCCCAACTATGAAGCAGACAAGTATGGGTTGGCATTAATTAAGGAATATATACATTAATAAATGGACAATAGTGATACACAATTCCTTATATATCAAGGATCACAACATTGATCGAGTAATGGCCTCTTTGGCTTTTGTAATTTAGTTCTATGCTGTCCAAGGATAACATTTGTCTTCATGCAATCTTGGCCCTTAATATTGCAGAAACTCAATCAATCTACTCTACAGTGTCACTTTTGGATCATACTATCTTTCTTTGTCTTTTACTCTGTGCATAAGTTAGAATGACCCGATTATACTTCAATTGGACTTGAGCCTTCAAAGAACCACAAACACTGACAAATTTTTAACCTCTAAATCTTACTCTCCAAATTCCAAAGTAGATAGTGCAACTCTTTCACATATATGTTTATGTTTTTTAGGCCGGACACTGTTAGACTTTTTAGCCCATCCAAAAGGGAAATTTCTTATACATAGTTTTACACATCATTTTAAATAGAGATAATATATTATTTAATTCCAATTGTACATAGAGAGTTTCAGAGAGACTGTAGTTTAATTTTTTTAGAGTGCTAAATTATTTTGACACATTTCCCCTAAAAACTAATATTTTTAATTTTTAAATAAATTATAAATATTTTATTTATATTTGAAAATTTTTTATTTGAATTTTTAAATTGAATGAAAAGATATGTAATGTCTGGAATTCTTTCTAATTTAATATCATGTACGGTTATATAATGTTATATATTTTTAAGGGACTTCTAATTCAAGTGACAGGAAGTTTTATTTACCTTAATCAAGCTGTATTCCTTTGTACTTTACTTTAATTAGTTGAGTCAAATGTAATTTGTAAGAATATTAATTTGTTAGTGCAATTTCTTTTAATTAATACATGCACTTTTTTAAATAACTATTACAAAATTAACATATCTTAATTATGATTTAATGATTATACATTATCTGTATAAAAAAAATACATCACCAATTAATAAAAAAATATCATTGATTTACTCTTAAAATAATTATAATAAAAATCAATATATTTATCATATATGATGATTTATGATTAACTAACTGTATAAAATTATTTATTTTACATCATATTAGTATAAAGTTGTTCTTCTCTTTTAATTAAATTTGTTTTCAAATACCAAGAGTTTAAAACAAAACTGCAATCCCTACCTAACAGGTGAAACGCTAATCACCTTTTCCAAACTCATGAAACTGAAGATTAAACTCAACTCAAGTGTTTAAACAATGTGAATCCGTGTTGGAGAAAGTGACAAATTCAAAGTCTCATGTCCCTCTTACTTGTAACTCTATAAAACCCCACACACTACCCCTTTCCAAACCCCGTCCTTCTCAGTCCTCAAATACCCCTCTCTCTATCTCTCTCTGTTTCTCTCTCTGTTTCGAGTCTATTCAAAAACCATTTTTTCCCCTACACACGGACACACAAACTATGTGTCATCCAACTCTTGACGTCACCTGCAAATGCAGCACTTCCTCCTCTGATTGCCCAATTCCAATCAAGCCCCCCCAAGAGTCTCACCACCCCAACATGCTCACCAACCCTTTGATCAAAAAACCACATAACAACACCACACCACCACCAAAACCAACACCAACACCAACACAACCTCATCAAAATAACATCACAACACCAACACCAACAAAAAAAGCAACAAAACCCCATTTCCCTGATGCCATCAAAGAAGTGTTTTCCATATTCAAAATAGCTATCCCAATGATCCTCACTGGCCTCCTCCTCTATTGCCGCTCCATGATCTCCATGCTCTTCCTTGGCCACCTTGGTGAGCTTGCCTTGGCTGGTGGCTCCTTAGCTGTTGGCTTTGCCAACATCACTGGCTACTCAATCCTCTCTGGCCTTGCTGTTGGCATGGAGCCAATTTGCGGCCAAGCCTTTGGTGCTAAAAAGTTCACCCTCCTTGGCCTATGCTTGCAAAGAACCATTCTCTTGCTCCTCTTCACTTCCCTCCCCATATCACTCCTTTGGCTCTACATGAAGCAAATTCTCCTCTTCTGTGGCCAGGATGAGACCATAGCCTCACAAGCCCAATCATATCTTGTTTACTCCATTCCTGACCTCATAGCACAGTCCTTCCTACACCCTTTGAGAATTTACCTCAGGACACAATCCATTACCCTTCCTCTCACACTTTGTGCCACTTTGTCAATTCTACTTCACATCCCTATAAACTACTTCCTTGTTGCTCACCTCAAGCTTGGAGTCAAAGGGGTGGCTCTTGGTGGGGTCTGGACAAACTTCAACCTTGTGGCTTCTTTGATTCTTTATGTTGTCTTCTCTGGGACTCATAAGAGGACATGGGGAGGCTTCTCCTTTGAGTGCTTCACACAGTGGAGGTCTCTTCTCAACTTGGCCATTCCAAGCTGTGTTTCAGTGTGCTTGGAGTGGTGGTGGTATGAGATCATGATTTTGTTGTGTGGGCTGTTGGTAAACCCCAAAGCAACTGTGGCTTCAATGGGGATTTTGATCCAAACCACTTCTTTGCTTTACATTTTCCCTTCTTCATTGAGCTTCAGTGTGTCAACAAGAGTTGGCAACAAGCTTGGGGCACAGAAGCCCTCAAAGGCAAGGCTTTCTGCCATTGTCGGGTTGTCTTGCAGCTTCATGTCAGGTGTCTTGGCATTGGTTTTTGCTCTCATAGTTAGGAATACATGGGCTAGCATGTTCACAAGGGACAAGGAGATTATAACTTTGACATCTATGGTGTTGCCTATAATAGGTCTTTGTGAGCTTGGGAACTGTCCTCAAACAACAGGGTGTGGGGTGCTGAGAGGCACAGCAAGGCCTAAAGTTGGTGCTAACATCAACTTGGGATGCTTCTACCTTGTGGGAATGCCTGTGTCCATTTGGTTGGCCTTTTTCACTGGCTATGATTTCCAAGGACTCTGGCTTGGCCTACTTGCAGCTCAAGGGTGTTGTGCAGTGACCATGTTGGTGGTTCTGTGTAGAACTGATTGGGAATTTGAGGCTCAAAGAGCCAAGAAACTCACAGGAATGGGAGCAGATTCTATTGTTGATGATCACAACCATGAGGTTGATCCAGAGAAGCCACTCAAACATGAAAGCAAGGAAGATTCTTTGGCATTACTCGCTGATTCAGATGAAAATAAGTAGTCCTTGGTTTAATTAATCAACCGCCATAAAGAGAAAAACAAACACTGAAGAGAGGAGGATAAAATATTTCACAAATTTGTCTTTAACTGTATAGGGCAGTAGGGTAGAGACAGAGGATAACATTTTTATTTTATGATTTTTAGATATCACTTGATGAAGTTCCTTGCTTTCAGTGTTATTTTCCGATTAAAATTAGAGTTTCACTTCAGTAATCCACTAAATAAAAGGTTTACATTTAAGATTAGAACAATGACCAGAGTGAAACTCCAATTCTAATTGAAAAATAACACTGAAAATGTGTAACGAACTGCGTCTAAGTTTTGTCCTTAAGAAAATTCACCAGCAGCATATGCTTCTCCTCTATGGACTTCTGCTATTTCCAGTAAAATTCAATTACATTTTGCAGGGCATTGAATGTCATGGGAAGTAGGAAAATGTGGTGTCCGGGAGGAGTAACCATTATTTCTGTAACGTACTTTTTTTGTTCAGCTTTACACAGAAGAAGAGAAGAGACCCTCATTTCATGATTTATGCCTCTTACTGACTTGTCTGTTCCTCTATTTTCTACCTCAATACATTCACCTTTTGTCCTCACTCTCCCTTTGTTCATGTTCTCTAAAAGAAGTCATTATAAAAGCTACAACAAGCTTTAGAGAATCTGCCTACTCTATTTGGAGTTTTATTTCGCCAAATTACAAGATTAATAGAAAATACAAAATGAGAAAAAAAAAATTAAAGTAGTAAAACCAGATTTATCCTGAAGTAAGAGAATTTCTTAACATAATGAAATTTGACATTGACTTGAAGAATTAGGATCTTCTATTTATGTATAGCAGCCAGCCTGCCACATATTTTTGGAATGAATTGCACATTGTTGTACCTTTAATGCATCAGTGGAAATAAAATAATGCATTTTCTCACCCCACATAGATTGAAGCAAAGTTTAGCTAGCTGTCTTTGGTTCCTCACTACTAAACTAAGATCTTCGGTCCTATCATACCTAATTGGCACATTATTATATATGTATGAGACTTAGTCAAATAAATTAATTGTCATGAGTTACTTTTAGAATTTGATTAAGCAACATTTTTAAAGAAGTCCTTTTTCAGCAGTTTTCATTTTAGTTTTGGATTGTATAGATAGAGACTGAAGTTGGTTTCACTATCAAGTTGCATTAATTTCATGACCCTCTCACCTTGAAAACTTGCTACTTGTGTTAAATCAACTTTTCCCTCTCCTGCTTATACATGGGACAAAATAAAATAAACGAAAAAGTACACCTCTCCCCGTTGGCATTGTACTAGGAAAGATCTCAACTATCAAATATTGTTTGCCTAAAATAAGATGGGGATCATAACAAACGTGGAGTCACTAGCAATTCAGATCACAAGATCACTCGCTCATGGGGCAGAGTTTGACCAATTGATGATATATGAGGGGTTTCTATTTGTTCAAGGACCACATTAAATGGATATGAGCAAATCTATGTTTTAATGCTCAAGTGGTGGAAATTTGTCGTGGAGTTCTCAAGTACAAGGTGGTCTCACTCATAGTGAAGATTGTATTTTGGAGTATAAAAAATGTTTAGAACTTGAATTTCAAGTCAAACTCACTCACGGGTAGGACAACAATTTATGGCATAAAATTGGGGTGCCATTGCCCAACGCCGGCAGCTTATGTGGTCTCACTTGGTTTTCTACCCTGATTTTATGGTTCTTGTGCCTTTTGTGTGAATTCGTATCTTTTTCTCTTTTTTAATTCAAGTCATTCTTACTTTTAGAATTAGAGTATAATCTTTCAAGGTACTAAGATTCATTTATAAAACTTATATCTCTAATAGATATTTTTTGAGAGACGTGAATTCAAAGAGATTACATATTTAAAAGACATAATTATTTATCAGTTACATTGTATGATGTTAGTTTGTGAATTTGTACTTTGAATTCTTGTATCTTTTGTGTGATTTCATGTTTCTTTATTTTATTTATCTTTTTTAACTAATGTTATTTCTTAATAGAGAGTTAGAAACTAATCTTTTTCATTATTGAAATTTATTTAAAAACTAACTTCTCTAACACGTATTTTTAAATTTACATGAATTCAAAGATCGATATCTTGAACACATATTTAAAGGATATAATTATTTATCAATCATGGTAGTTTGTGAATTTGTGCTTTGTTGCACTAATCTTGACACTGTCCAAAACTTTTGGTGGACATGATGTGGTCTTTTACTATTAAACAGAATAAGATGCAACAAAAAATAAAAACCATTAGTTAAGCACAAAATGGGATGGGTACTTTTGTGCAGATAAGCAGAGGAATTTATGCACATTCAGTTTTTCAAAGTGAAAGAACAGCGCAAGTTGCAGATCAAGTTGCACATTGATTTAATGGGGGTAACAGATTCTTATGAAGAGTCACCAGTAAGACATTTTTATTTGGGGGGGGACAAAATCTTCACACCCTCTTTGCTTAGCTTTGTTGCTTTCATTATTAATTGACAGTAATAATAAGGATGGCACTATTTTTGTTGGAAATCAACGTACAGTCTAAGAATTTGGGAATCATTTTTTTAAATTTTTTTTTTGTTTAACCTTAGACACTATTTTGACTATATCTTTGATTATTATGGGATCTTAAATTTCTTAAAATGGGGATGAGGTTAATAGAAATAGAATTAATCACATATATACTATCAGTATAACGTTTTTTTATATTAACAACTAATTATATTTTTTAATTATATTATGTCAATATAAACATATTTATTTTTAATAATGACATGACGCAATTGAATAATATAATTAGTTGTCGATAAAAAGTTTTTTTAACTCAGAAATATTAGATAGCTTATTCCATCACGATTCCTCCAAATTCCTTTTCTAAGGAGCTTATGTTAAAGTACAAGTATATACTTTTACAATAAATTGACTTATTTTTTGTTATGATCACTTGTCTTTAATTCTTCCTAATTTTTTTTAATGTTCCATGTGACTGACCAAATTGTTTTTGGATACCCTTTTTCTCTCATTTCTTTAATTAAGATTGTTTACATTTTCTTTTGATTTTTATAAACGAATTGGTTGGTGACAACGGTTAATGGACCATCAATACATGACAAATTAAAGTGCACGTACGGTTATTTTGACTTTGTTTGTTTATGTCAATTCTTTTTATTTTTATTGTTTTAGTGCTTTTTCTAGCATCAAACAACAGCACTACTCATTTTATCATAATTTTAGTCAGCAAGATAACATAAAAAAATTTAAAAATAAAAATAAAAATAAAAAGATAACATAAACAAGGTTGTGAAGTAGACATTTTACGAGATAAAATTACAAACAAAAAAAAAGGGATCAAACTTCAAAATTTCAAACCAGGTGATTGTTTCGAAGATGTTCTTAAAGTCAATGAGCATTTAAGGATGATTAAGAAACATTTTAGAGAACATTAGTGTTGATTAGTTTATAAATAAGTTAATATAAACTAATCATGTATAAAATATTTATTAAGATTGAAAGTTTTCCTTTAAAGATAACTTATCCTAAGGAATGGTGAAAGATAAAAGTATTAATAATAAGCATCTGAATCAATTATATTTCAATTATATTTTATATGCAATTGTATTAAATATTTGAAAAGAGATAATTTTATCATACATAATAACCTTACTCCATTCAAAATAAAATTCTTATCACTAAAATCATTTTGGAAAGAGT